AACACCATTCTGGCTAGTTCAAACTTAGTTTAAGGTATCTTAAACTTAAATGAATTTAAGACATCTTGAACTTGAATTACGACCAGTCAGAATTTAACTGTAGAAATCCATATCTGGAATTATCATCATAATTAAGCTGCAGATGTTTCTAATACAAATAGAAACAGCAGTGTACAAGAAGATGAAGTTGCTTTTCAAAAGGGTCAAATGTAACGTTTGGCTTTTTGTCTGATTAATCAACCATCAAAATAATTGTTAGTTGCAGCACTATGGACCTAACCCTGTTGACACAGTGACATTATGGGGACTTGTCTTTCTTATTGGAACAAAAAGTCATCGTAATGTAAATCGTTAGATTTTAAAGCAAGGTCAGGTGAAGATAGGTTGTTAAGATAACCCTCCAGGAAATCAATGTTAGTCAATAATGTCCTCTGAAATCAAGGAGACACAACTGTTTGTGTGTGGAGACTTTAAAATGACAGGTTAACTTGTTGTCGTCTTATTCAGTCCCCTCAGTCAACAGAAAAGAGAAACAGTGTTCTTTGTGTGTGTGCCAATGAAAATAAAGAATGGAGGCTTCTTCCATCCCTGTGTCCTGCTTTCAATGTCTCTTTTCCTCCCCAGACAATAGGAGAGATACAACATACTGTCTAGTTTTGCTGGACCACAATGCAAAATGATTCATGAGGGTTATGGATTTCATGATGTAAATATATGAATACATTCAATTGATGACACTGGAAATGATCATTTTACCCATAATGACTGAATTTGAATATGAGATGTAGATCTGACCAAGCTTCGAGTGGACAAAATGCAAAAACAGGTTTATGTGCACAGCTACACTGTGGTGGTTGCAGCTGGAACATTATGATGCTGAGCTGCGCCTCCTCTTTTGCCAGAGCCTCCACACTGGCACGAGCTATGGAGACTGGGACAGTGCCACAGTCAGAACTGGGACACTCTATCGTCTGGCTGCTGGTTTATGGTTTTTAAGGGTAAATGTCTTTCAGATCAGTGTGTTACAAAACGAATGTGGGTCTCTGAACCTGACAAATGTGATCATATGGTCATTATACAATAAAGACAGCAAAGCCAGAACCATGTAAACCCCACAATCATATTAGTTTAACTTTACAACTGCAGTGTAATCAGGTGAAGAGTGTGAAGCACTGGTCTTACTGTGGAATGTGAGACGTTTATAATATTGATGCTAAAAACAGAAAGGTAAGACACTCCTGTATTCCTTCAAAGGTACAGCTAACAGCTAAGTTTGAACGCTTCAAGGTTAATCTGAGTCTGAATGAACTGTGAAACAAAACGGCACATCTCTGCCTCTGCAATGTGTCAATGTCAAAGAAGCTTATTTCACATTATTGGCAAAAGTGATTTCTTTGCCCTTGTCTGATAGTTTTACAGTGTAGTGGGGCTAAAATATATAGTTCCGGTTTCAGTGGTCGGGGGAAGTGAAAGAAAAAACTGTTTTCGACACTCAATTATTGATATTTTATATTCATAACTTAACTACATAGAAAACTACTATTTAATTTGTTTATCATGGCAAATTCTAGTATGTACGAAGATACTTAAAATACAGCTAACATTTTTCAATCTGAAAAAATAGTTGGCCATGCCTTCTTTCAGTCCTGACAAATGTCTGCAGGAATTTCATTCATTCACCTTCCAACAATACTCATGGGTTAGAGCAGGCTTTATTCTGAGAGGCAAAACCCAGGGCAAGAAAAGTCCACTCAACAATCCCTACTGCTTTTAAAACACTGTAATAAGAAGGTGAGTGTCTTGATTTTTATTCAGGACAATGTTCACGTTTGAATCATCATTAAACAATAAAAGCACTCGGAGAGCACATACCGGGGGCGGATCCAGGGGCAGGGCCAGGGGGCTCTGGCACCAGCTGAAATCTGATTGGCCCTGTCTTGTAACTTGTCACTTACCAACAATACTAACAATAAATATAAGTTTTCTTAATTAAAGTTCACACTGTGGTTGAATAAAGAACAATTTTCTAAATATATTGAATGATGTGTGTCTTTGCTCAAAGCTGTAGAGTTAATGGTAAAAAAGATTTAATGTATGTATCTTACTGATTCAGGAATCGGACATGGATGTCTGAAATATAATTGACCCCTCTGTGTAATCTGTGGCTTGTTTCAATATATTATGGTCATATTTTTCACACATATACAAAGTTTGCATGATAATCCTGTATTTTCACATATTTCATGTCGACCCCCACTCTTTGAAGATACACGATGCACTTGATTCAACCAGCGTACAGCAGCAAGGTTATTGAACTGCTCTTCTAATAACAAAGCATCCTGGCAGGGTTGTCTGCAGACCACTGCTTTAGCACAGCTAAAAGCCTGTGCTTTTGATTCATACGAGAAATAATACAGAGCCTCCAAGCTTTTCAATTTCCATTGGATGATGGCAAATGTTATTCACCTGCATTAGCGCAGAGGTTATTAAGATATTATAGGTTTGTCACTTCAGTAATTGCTGGCAATAGCGTTGGTTTATTTAAGATCTCAATGATGTTATCACAATGACATCCCCGGCAAATCTGATGACATGTTGGGTGTTCGCAACGACTACTAATG